TTATTTATTCAGAATGCTTTCTTTTCTAACGTAAGAAAACAAATGAGTATGATAATTTTTTTCTTAAATGGAACTTTACACAAGAGATTTCAATAATTGTTTTTCCTTTGGAGAGATATATCATAATTTTAGAACTCTTCACTGTTTGACATCTATGAGACAGATCAATAAACATTTCGCTGGGTTTTTTTACTGAATAATATTCCTTGTTAAAAATTTGTCCATTAACTGTTTGGTAGATATTCTAGCCAGTTCTCTCATGCCATAAATTGCTATTTCTTGTTTGAAGATTGTTCTACAAATAGAAATAACTGAATTTTGTACTATTCAAGAAGACAGAAAAGCCGAAAACTGTCTTATGATTGATGTTAAAATAAACAGATGACTTCGTATTTCTTTGTGTTTGACATAAACTTCAGGATATTATCTCTCAAACATCATTACAAACTATACAATTCGAATCAGAAATCAATATTTTTCCTATTATAGCATTCGTTGTTTTAAAATTAAACACTATAGTAAAGTATTCTTTTGATGTTTAAGTGAAAATTTGAAAATTCATCTGTTGTATAAAATCGAATCGATTAAAGTGTATATGTTTGTATTAGAATTATTAGCGAACTAATGTTCTAAGCAGTTAACTAGATACTAATAGGAATAATAAATATAACGAGAAGTTGCTATGAGAAGATAACCAAATGTCAATGCATAGTTAATTAGCTACTGAGAGAAAATCTTTTTTTATGATATGGGTATGACAATGTATATATGCTATATTAAATCATTGATGTTTATTTACCTTCACTAAAATGTGTATATGAAAAATATATTGACATTCATTCATAAAATAGAACTATTCTTCTTCCTCAATGTTTTATTGCAGATGTTTATTCAATGTGGAGATCATGAGAACACCGTCTCTGTCAAGATTCTATTGACCCTTCTGGATGGAATTTATGGTTATTATACCATATATTATGCTGTCGGCGTTCCAAAAGTAGGTGTTTACTCTTCAAGATTCTTTCATTGGCCCTCCAGAAGAGAAAATCCGAATAAAACACTTTTTTGTTGTAGATGAATTTCTCATAATGAATACTTGTTCTTTGTCATGCAACAGTCATTTATATTCAATAATGCATATATAAAAACTAATAAGTTTCTCTACTGCTGAGGTTTTTTGAAAATAGGAAATTTTTTTCAAATCTTTTAACTCGTGATTAATTTTATCAACCGAAAGAACAAGAATAAAATACATCTCGATAAAGAAAATTCTCCCTGTCGATCTATTGTTTTCTTCATATTCCATAGATCATTCAGAATTTTCTTAGCATTTGAAGGATCAGTTGATGAAGAAGACATTCTATTGATTTCTCAAAACCAAATGTTCGAGATAGTTGTCGTGATATTTATCGTTTCCGATGAGGAAGGAAGAGTAATGGGGGTTAGCTCAGAGCTAAATAAAATTTTGATTTTTGAATAAAACCTGTTGGCTTTTTTTTCACCAGCGTTTTTCTACAAAATTATCCTTTTTTGAATGATCTGGGAAATGTAGTCCTCTTTATCTCTGAACTCAGTTGGATACTGTAATGATATTTGATACAAGAGTGTCATCCTTTTCATCCATTTTCGAGAAATCATTTCAAAGATAACAATAGGTACTAAACTTGTTGGTTATTATAGTAGTTGAACGTCTGTATCTGCACAGGAATCTAATATATCTGCAATATCGCCGTACAAGTAAATGTCTGAAAAGCGTACACCATGATATGATTCGACTGAGTGAACTATTATTTTATTTTTCCTAGTTCAGTGCGACCTTTTCCTTCTTCTCCGGGTTTCTTGATAACTGCTAGAAGAAAATTTATAAAATTTTCAGAGTAGATAAAACTCGAGGAATAGAGCTTAAGATGTTCTTGGTTTGGCAACAACAAATGCTCTCTTCCGATAGGTGTGGAGCCTCAAAGAGTGAATGTAGCTAGAAGTTCTCCCACACAAAAACTTATACTTCATTTTTGTAAGCTGTCCTCTTATAGTGACAAGGTGCATCGAGTTGCAATGTGTATTGTTTTTCTTCGAAAAATGTGTCCAGAATTTAGGAAGAGCAAAATACTTGAGGCACTATCAAAAAACGTGTCTTTTTCAATGGTGCCAATCTTCTGAAGATTGTCGAATTTCATAGAAATAATATGTTGAACAAAAAAAAAGTACACTCTCATGCCACGATTCTATCACATTACATATTTAAAAAGTTTTGAGCCCAATTGGGTACATTATGTAGAAGAAAAGCGAGGAAAATTTACTTTTTTCTTCAAAGATCGGTTTTGATAAAAACGTAAAACAATGCAAAATTTTGTTTTTTTTGGCATATATCCTATTTTTTTGAGTTCGTTTGCTTTATTAGTATCTTTTAGATAGATGAAGATATTGGTGTGGGTAAAGAAAGCCCTCACCCACAACTTTATGAAAATAAGACGATATATAAATCTGGTTATCATCAATAAACTAACAGCGATTGACAATCTCTAAAAAACAATTTTAATAAATAAGATAAGTGCATAAGACTGTTAAGTAGAAAAACACAAGCTTTTTTACGATAGGGTTCTCGAAACTAAGCCTTGTCAAAATTTACACAGATTGGCACAATTCTAATATTTTACAATAGATGATAGTAGACACTTCAAATTATCTTTAGCAATAAAAATCGAAAAAAAGACTTTTAGACCTGGAAAAGCTATACTGTTAAAAGTAAATAAGATTGGTATCTTCGAATCTTTGTTTACGTAACCATAATGGAACGTAATAGAATTTGATCCTGATCATATTTTATTGTTAGATAATTTCTTGAGTGCAGCTTTTAGGCATTCATTTTACTACTAGAGTGTATTGCTAGCTAGTAAGCCTAAGACAGTTGTTCGTGAAGAATGTAGATGACGGTCTTCTCTTCATTTAAAATTACATCGTGATTATTTATGAAATACATGTTTTCTAGAATATTCAGATTTTCAAAGAACTTTGTTACTTTTCCGATCAACTATATGTAAAAAGGTCTCTTATATTAACATAAATCTGTTTTTAGAGGTTGCTTATATAGTAACTGCCATAATTGCTTTTAATGAGATTGTTCTGTTAGTTTGTGCGACTTAGACATAAGACACCGAAGCAAATAAGCAAATCTCGATTTGGTTCATATTGAAAGAAAAGACAATTCTTTCAGTCTCATAAGGTAAAAGTATTCAGATTCTGCATAAAATTTCGTTTAGATTTTCGTATGTCTATATTCTAAATCTATTAATTTAAAGAAATTCAAAGACTTCAGAACGAAGCTACAATGTAAATTAGGGCTTGTGTATTCAATGAGAGGTGTTTTTTTCTTATCCATCGGTGAAATTAGTAGTTTCTAAATTTGCATATTTAACGCTGAATAGTTATCTTCTTTGTGGAGGAAGATGCACCTATTAGGAAAGAGAGTAAATTAACTTCTGTTTTCAGTCACATCCAATCTCAGTTCTCTGATCTGAACTGCAGTTAGCAATTCATAATCTTGGTTGGATCATTTCCGCAGCCTTCGAATAAGAAAATCTCGATATTTGGTTCTAAACCAAACTTTCCAAGGTCAATTGTCATCTCAAATAGCGAATCAAGATATTTAGAAGGGTAATAAATAATCAGTTCTATATTTATTTCGATTTGTACTGCTGATTTTACAGTCGAAACGGCAAACGCACGCCCTATCAACAATAGAACTCTATTCATATATCGACTAAAAGGGTAAAAAACACTTTGACAGACTGTTCGAGAATTTTCAATACCACATAAAACTAGAAAACCCTATTAGGTATGCAGAAAGAGAAGTAGTAATGAAAACAGATGCACATCTATCTAGTTCTGCTAAAACTATCAATCATACAGTAAATCAATAGAAGTTGACATTTTTTTAATGAAAATACAAACAATATTTGCATTAGTAGACTTCTCACGCAAAGAGATTGATATAGTTGGCAGAAGCAGAAGACACAGAATATGAACACTATACTCAAGTGAAATTTATTGCTCAAATTTGAGAGTTATTGAAGAGATTGCTGCCGAGTCGAATAAAGAGATTCACATTCCAGTCAGTTTCAGTCACTATTATATATATA